GATGGATGGATGGATGGATGGATGGATGGATGGATGGATGGATGGATGGATGGATGGATGGATGGATGGATGATAGATGCATAGGTGGGTGGTTGGATGGATGGATGGATGGATGGATGGATGGATGGATGGATGAGTGGTTGGATGATTGATGGATGGATGGGTGGATGGATGGATGGATGGATGGATGGATGAGTGGTAGGATGATTGATGGATGGAGGAGTTGATGGATGGATGGATGGGTGGATGGATGGATGGATGGATGGATGGATGGATGGATGGATGGATGGATGACGGTTTGGTGGATAGATGAATGGATGTTGGATGGGTGGATGGATGGATGGATGTTGGATGGGTGGATGGATGGATGGATGTTGGATGGGTGAATCATATCTATAAACATTTATTTGGCTGCATGTTGACTCTGTCATTATAGCCCATTATTATAGCCCTGATCTTCAGGCCTTTTTCGTTCTCTAATGGCTGCTCTTCCAGAAACTTCCTTTATCAGCTTCCCTTCTCCTGCTGAGGAAAAGCATTCCCACAGCATGATACTGTCTCCATCGTGTTTATCAGTTTGGGATTTATATTCAGGATGATTATATTCAGGATAGAATTTGTTACTAGAGGCGCCTTCTTCAATGTAAGGCCCTCTTCTCGCCACTCTTCCATAAAAGCTCACTTGGTTAGATGTATGACTGAAAACCCAAGCTCAGGATCTATGCAGCTCCCAGAGTTAGGCTGGGCCTCTTTGCTGCTTCTCTCAAGCTTTAACATCAAACCATGCTCTGTAAGATCTTCAAAGCACAAAATATCTATTTTCTTAACCTAACCCGTCTTTAAATCTCATTCATGATCTGTCTGCTGTGTTCATCAATCATCACGATGAAGAGGAATAAAAACTTTTGCAAGGCGCTGTAAGATGATTTATGAATATTTCAGAGACATCATACTGAATCTACAAAGTGAGAAAATGTACGATTTATTTATTTTATGTGTTTGTTTTACAAGTATGACTAAAGAAGAAGATAGAATACAGGCTGGAACTAAAGCCTGCTTGTGTTGCACCATCAGCTGTCACTTTAAAAAAACAAATATTTCTTGATTTCAGCTGTTCTGCAGTTCAGTTTTATCGCACCAAATGACTGTAGAGGCTTTGTTGTAACTGCATACTTTTGAAAATATGGGATTAATTATTGAAACCTATTAATGGTGCTTTCTGTGAGGCAGGTTACTAATGAAATAATCACCAGCATGCTCAAACACTTCATAAATACCAGACCTTTAGCGGTGCTGTAAATACCAAAGGTTCATATCAGTGTCCGTTTCCTTGCAGGTAAGCGGATCCCGGTTGCTGACGCCGCAGTAGGAACCTCTGTCAAAGGTTTCAAACTGGGACGGCAGGCTTCAGAGTCTCGAAGGACATGCTGCTGATAATGCTGGGGACTGAACTCATCGTTCTGAGACCTAAGCATCACCAACCCACCTAGCTCGGTGATGTGCTTCAACTTGAAGAACCAACACGGCGCCAGAGAAACGCTCCCCTTTGCTCACAGCAGCGGAGCGGACATTTCTATAGCTCCGTACAAAAGCAGATCCCCGTGTTTCTCGTTTAAAAAGCCTGCAGCAGCAGAATGTTTATTAGTGAAGGTTACATTAAAGGAGGTGTGGGAAACTTTCCAGACTCCTCTACGACGTTAGAAGTCTTTTATATTTGTACACTTGTACATTTGTATAAAAAAAAAATTCTATCAGCATAACAACAACAAAAAACCACATTGAAGGAATTTAACTTCTTCCAGTTATTTTGAAAACTTCTAAGTTATCTTTTTTATATACAGGAAATTTTAAACATCAGCTTCATAAAGGATCCCTTTTACGTCTACTAATTTATTTATAGGTAACCTTTTTAGCCTGATTTTTGTTACCAACGAGGCAGCGGTGCAGAAAACAAAGCAGAAATGAAAGGTGTGTGGGAGCCGACTTCCTTCACACTGAGGGAATGCTTCATCATTTCACTGAAACGCTGTTACTGTCCTGTTATGTGTTACTGCAGGCCGGTTTACTGGTGCATTAAGACAGAATCAGGCTAACCTACGTTTAACTTCTCTGTTTTTACTCAAACCTGCTCCGCCTGTAAATCAGCATGTCTGATTTCTGATGCTTTTCTTTTCTCTCTCTCTTTGAAGAATTATCTTATTGGCTCTTGTAAGGTTCTTGTGAATCATACGTTATTAGTGTAATTTAACCTCTTGATCAGAAGAACGTTACAAGCAGCTTTTCTGTGTTTAATCAGAGCTTCAACAGGCGCTAATTATTTTGTTAACACTGCCATCTCCTGCCATCTGTTCTGCATTTCCTGCTTGTAATCTCTGGAGACGCCCTCCGTTGTTGCACAGGCTCGTGTGAACTGTTCATCCATTTACAGATTTTACATTGCAAACTGTTTAATAAGGGAAGCTGTTTTCTGTGCCAGATTATTTAATTGTCCAACTATGATCTTTTTTTAATCTTTGCTTCTTTTTTTTAAACCTAATCAGCAGAGCCTTTTACTTCCAAGTGCTGTTTTACTACTTGGCTTGAGATGAAAATGCTGAGACTTGGAAAAAAGGCCTCATTTAAAGGGAATTTGTATGTTGGAGCTCAGATCTTGTGTTAGCAAGTTAGCACATTTTTATAGGTGGAGAATTAGTTGGGACTGTGTGTGAACATGCAGATACCCCCCTAAGTGAACTTTGACCCTGTTGCTGGTTTGCTCCAGTGTTTATGTATGTATTTTATTTTCGTTCACTGTTTGTGCCTCATTTCGTCCCCTTTTTCTGGCTTAATTATACTAGATAATATAGTTTACAGGCACTGTCTGATGTCCTGTACATGATTTTAATTCTACATCGGTATAATAGTTGAGTATTTGGTATAGAACCAAATGGATTTGAGTTAGCCACAGTTAGCTTTTTAGACCTTTTTCAAAAACAAAATGGAAAAAGAAAGTTTTACAGTATTGTATTTTTAAGACCTTTTTCTTTTTTTTTTTTTTTAAAGAGCTGCACTTTTTTACATTAAGTATTAGTATAGACCCTGTTGTCCTTGTTGGATTTAATTTTAATTAATGATTTTTTTTTTTAACTGCAGGAGTTTATTGTCGATGTATTTTGGTTATGCAGTCGATGTTTTGTGCAGACTTAATGGCCTTCACAGTTAAAGGTGTCCCAGATACAGACGTGTGTTTAAAAAAACAAAAAAAACCCTGAAAGACTCATCTCGTCCAGCCTTGCTGTCACAGTTCCTGTTGATTTACATTTTATGGGCAGATTATAGTGAGTAATTTTGCTCAAATTAACTCAAAACTCCCTCTTCATTTATTTATTTTTTTTATTTTATTTTTTTAAATTAGCCGTTTAAACCTGCCTTCATTTAATATCATCTTTATATGATATCTTTACTATTGGCACCAATTAGTCAAAGTTTTTAAATAAACAGCTTAAAGGGACTCAGATACCTTCTGAAAACCTCATAAAAAAAGTTTTCCATCATCTTGTCATTCGTAATCACAGCTACTGCAAATATATCAAAAGGGGGCAGTACTGTAGTAGTTTAAAAGCTGCACTTTAAAAGTGTTAATTGTTCCATCACTTTGATGATATTTAGCAAGTCCCAACTTGTTTATCCCCTGATTTATTATTTCCTTTTGCTAATTTCGCTTCTAAGTTCTTGGTGCCAAAGCTGTTATTATCAAGTTGCATTTACCCAATCCTAACTGTTAATGCAACGATGTGATTTATATGTTCCATAAATATAACCAAGACCGTATCTCTGATTCGTTCACAAATAGGCGTGGTAGTTTGTGTTTCTTGATTGAAATTAACCAAAAATTCTTGGGCTGGTCCTGAGAATTTGAATAATCTGTAATACATGCATTTTACAGTGTAGATATTTGCCAAAAAGTTGCACACAGAATAATGTGTACATTCTTATACCATGTTTGCGTGAACACAGTATCTCTGTATGCCATGTTGAGCACATATATCAGCAGTGTAATTACCATATTTAGCTTCTTTTTTCCATATTGATTGTAACAAAATGCTTGTTTGCAGTGTAAGGTCAAATGTGTAAAAAGGGAATTTTTTTACTAATAAAACTGTTTAAAAAGAAAGGGCAAATGAGTCTGAGTGGAGTTTTCCAGGCCCTAAAGAAACGTCTGCATTAGCACTTCCTTGGGAATACAGTAACACTGTCAGTGGTTTGCTGTGATGTTTAGTTCTCTGCCAGCTGCCAGTCTATATATAAAATATGACACTTGAGATATGTGTTTAAGTGGCAGAGGGTTTTCAACACTTTAAGTCATGGGGTGCAATGCCAAAACAACTACAGTGTCCTCCATAATTATTGAAACCCCTAATAAATGTATTTTAAACCCTTGAAATAAATTGATTATTTATAGCAGCTGCATATCCTCATGCTAAAAGATGAGCTGTAGTCTTCCAACACTGACATCCTCACTGCAAGAGGTGGTAAAATAAACCTACTCAAGACCCTCTGTCACAGTTTTTGTAGCCAATTCCTGATATATGAACCTGACACGGATCAGGATTACCTGTTTGCTACATTCTCTTGTTTTTTTTCTCTTATTAACCCTTCATATGGCATTCAGTGAAATACTTTAAAAATCAAAATTTCAAGCCAATAGTGTTATTGGAATCCAGGACAAGACCTTATTACCTTTGTAACATTAAAAAAATATGGATATCTTGATGACAAAAATCAATGTAATAATAAGAAATATCAACTTGCACGAATATATTAAGAAAAATAAAAGTGCTTCTATAAGAAATTCATGAAAAACACAACTTTTTTTTTTGGTACAACATAACGTTAGAGGCATTAATGCTGATACAGGCACTTACATTCATTTTTTAGTTTATAAAACTACATATAATTGTTATCTAGGCTTGTCATTAAACTTTACTTTTTAACTTTTCAATTCGTTTTTTACCTATTTTTCTTGACTTGTTGACCTTTTTTTAAACTTAATTTAAAGTAGGTATTATATCATTCAAGGGCTCATCTACAGCCATGTAGCAGTATCTTTGCTAAATGGCTGGATATAGATCTTGTGCTTCTAGACCTCACTCAGGGACGGGGGGACTCCATTTTTAAGGGGTCTGCAAGTGACTGAAAACAGTAACTTACCCTATAAAGAGTTAAGAATTGACTGATAGAAATGGATTTCTATGTTATGTTTTCAAATCGGAGAGGAACTAGGAAAATTACTCAAAAATTACAAACTAATAATTCCTAGGACTCATGTTGTGGTAGAGAAGATACCGAATGTTTGGAGGCAATCGATCCATGGTGGATTCTCAACCTTGGGAATCTTGGTCCATGCCCTCTGATCCGTCAATTTTCTTCCTGATTTCTACAACTAAATGGTGCCATTTATTTTAAAAAGCTCCTATAGACACCGCTTAATAAAGACTGAAGTGGAAGGCATGCTCAAATAGCATATATTTTATAACAATTCTTTTGGCTGTCAATAAATGCAGCATCAGTAATTTATACAACCACACAAACCCAGTCATTTATAAAATGTGAAATTGTCCTCAATAAACAAATGCACATTGGATGCACGTTGGATTTTTCTCATTCCACTGCCATAAAGTTTAATTCTTTTTAAGACTTTTTTTTCACACATTTACCACAACGGTTCGTGGCACTTATGGTAATAAGAGATTTATGACAAGTGGGGTATATCGACAGATGGACGCTCACACTGGGCCTG